TATATATATATATATATATAATATAGAATTTCTCATGCGAGTCTTTCTATATTAACTAATAAGCTGAAACATATGTTTTTTATCATGTTTAAAATGTGGAAGTCGGTCTCTCACAAAGAGCCATTGAGCCAGATAAAAGATTATTTTCTGAAGTTAATGGGCAATAATTCGTAGATAAAGAAGCATTAAGATAGTCCCAAAAATTTCCCACCGTCAGAGTGGCGATATCCTTTTAGCGAATCAAAATCTCTAAATTTTATCAATTGAATGACGTTTCAAGAAGATAAGAAGATCCTTGCAACCACTCCCTTTCAGAAGCTCACTTTTTAAAAGCTCCGGGCAGGCAAAAATGCGTGTCTTTTTCATATTTTCCATGGCTAGATAAATCCATATCCAAATAATCCCTGAAATGGGGAAACCATAAATGTAAATATCCCACGAACACTGTTTTCCATACTCCATATAGCGTAATAAAATGCCTTTTTATCAGAAGCCGCCTAAGTCTCTTCAATTATCTAGCCTTTAAAGTCATAACATTACGTATAATATACAACAAAATAAATAAATACAAGAAATATATATATATATATAAACATATATAAACAGTGAAACCTCCAGGAAAGACCACCTCTATTTGCGACCACTTTTGGGAGGCACGAAATTTTTTCCATGGACGAAAACCTTTAACAGTGACCATTAAAACCTCTTCCAGCGCTCGGACAAATATCTGCACCAAATGCGGAAAATTTCAAATAAGGGAACACAAAAAAATATCAAAGCAAAATATTTATCAAATAAAATGTATTCTAAATAATTGTGTGAGTTCTTTTTGCCGATACAACCTCATAAGACAGTCAGAGTGCACTCAATGATTTACTTAGAGATGAAAGTTAAATTTAAAAAAAAAAGTTATTTTAGAAAAAACAAGCATCTAGAAAAAAATACCTGAATGTTTATATTTGTAACTTTAACTGAGATTTCTCATACTATTATACTTATAGTTTAAACCTTTTAGAGATTTGAGTGACCGATAATAAATTACGAATGAAAACAAGTATATATGAGCACCCTATGACAAGAAATAGAGTAAAAGCTTTTAACTGGTAAAGATTATTTCGATTATTATTTGCAATAATTGCAATAAATTTTCGTAAAGTCAGGTTAAATATACGATATGTGGAGATATGGAAATATTTACTAAGAACTCATTTTTTGTCTCATGTTTTACTGCTATAACTTTGAAAATATTCTATCGAAATCAAACAAAACTTTTGCAAATAACAACTTAAGTGATTAATGCAAGTCGTCGTGCATCAGAGCTGTTATAGATTGTTCCAAAAGAATAAAGATAACTGCTCGAATAATCAATCACTCAGTGACTTTTAAGCAGTCTTATGACCCGGCTCTCCTTTTCTTTTCTATCTTTTTTTCTCTTATTTTTTGTCGTCTGGAAATTTCAATCCTTAAAAGTGTTTCTTGAAAAGCTATTAAACTATTACAATAAATTCGCAAATTAAAAAAACCGAGAGAAAAACATCACTTTAAATAAAATGGAAATAATTATTCATGGGACGACCCGGTACCGTTTGATACACAGACCAGTAACGGTAAGCTGCCCGGGAGTTAGGAACCATTGATTTAGGGTATTTCCGGTGTTTATTAACCCGTATTTATCTAAAAAATAGTCTTGAAAGTGTTTTTTAACCATCACTGATTATGCATAAACATGTCGTACGCTAATTTAATTAACCTACACTTCAAAAAATAACTGTTTGCTATGTTTTAGGCTAATTGAAAAAGTCTCTAGCACCCTTTGATCTACCTAACAGTTTTCAGGCTTATTTAAGTGAGCTCATAAGGCCATTTTAGGCTAATTAGAAACTACAATTATATCAATGATTTCTCAATTAGCCTAGTTTCTTTCAGACAGTTTGCAATAATCGATTCTTATCTTAATCCTTGACTACAATTCTTTCGCAGGACCACCCGTTTTCAACGACGACTTTTCAAACATAACTGCGAAAGAAAATGTGGTTCTGAAGGTCCGGTGCTCTGCCACTGGTGATCCTCATCCTACCTACGAGTGGTATAACGAAGTAAATCAAAACTTGTTACGTTGTCTCTCCTTAATATATATATATATATATATATATATATATATATGTAANAAGTCAAGTTTGAATCTGCAACATATATAAGTTTGAATCTGCAACTTCAGTAGCAAGTTTGATATACAAGAATATATATATATATATATATATATATATACACACATTAAGCAATTCAAATTAATATTTAAGATAGAAAAAAAAACAATGATGCTTCCTAAATCAAAGAGAACCGTAGTAGGGAGGTGGAGCTGAAATTCTCAAAACCTGTTTTATTGCAGGATGAAATGGAGATAAATTGGAAGGTGCATGAGAAACATCTTTAAATTTCATCAAGCTGTCAAATTGATTTTGATGTTTTTCAATTTAGTCTTGATTGCTACTAATTTGAAAGATTTTCATAGCGTCCATAATTTTTTTTCTATAAAATATTAACTCGTGACCTTAATTTCTATACTTTTCAGCATTTGGTGCAGATGTTTGCCCCGTCACTGGGAGAGATTTTATTGGTCTTTATCTAAAGGTTTTATTTAACATAAAGTATAAGGAAAAATCTCCGTGCCTCCCAGAAGTGGCCGTAAGTGGACAGGGTCGCTACATCTGAAGGTCTGCAATAATTTAAAGTTTTCTCCCTCAATTAAACTGATTTTGATGATTTTAATCCCCTCTTCCAATTATGATTCGTTAGATTTTTTTAATGCTCAATGTGCGACTTAAAATATGTATTTTTTGACAGGAAGTCCTAAAATCCATATTCAGATTAAATGTGGTGATTATGGAACGCCATTTGAGTTATATCATTTAGTAAGAAAAAAAGTTAAAAGTTGTAACAAAACTATTATTTCATCAGTATTTCTCTATAAGTGATGAAATATGTTCCCATCCGCCATAATACCTTAAAACTTTTAAATATGTGGGTGATTCTCCAAAAACCTAATAATATCATGCCCAGTGGCGTGGCTTAAGGGACGGGGGAAAAAACCCCTTCCGAAATTATACATTACATAATTAATAAGCTATTGTACGGTAAGTAGGATGTAGATTTATAAATTTTCGTTATTGATTTTTTGCAATTTAAACATTTAGAGAAAAATAAATTGTATAAATATATTTATATATGTCAGAAGGAGATAAACGCCCTCCAAACATATGTCAAAACTATGCCCCTGACTATGTCCAAACAAAATATCACAAGATTGGTTTGATATAGAAAGTTGCTATGTTTTAATACATTTAAAACACAATTTTTCTCATATATATGTATAAAAAAAATGATCCATTTACAATTTCCTTAAAAAAAATTTAAATTAACTGGAAGTCACTCTCCGGATCTGATTGAAACTTATTTATAATTTTTTCATCAACATTTCAATAATTAAAGTGGTATTAGTAATTTATCTATGAGGACTGTTTTTTAAGTAAAGGCCGTTTGAAAATAAAAAAACAAACTTTCTTGGAGAAAATTTATTTTTTGATTCTACATAAGTTTCTCTTTTTTTTTCAAAATAGTCGCCAAGTTTGCTTAAACATTTATCAATACCCATGCAGTAGACAGGCTTTTTGCCGGCTAAAAACACATCACTAACCGTATTTTATACGGGGAAGGCGATTTGTTAAACTTGAGCATTTTAAAGACACAAAACTGACCATACAGGTTACCTGCGCAGCTGTAACGGAGTACAGTAGTTCCCAAGGAATGCCGGGACATGACGCAAGCACTCGTTGCGACGCACGCGTCACCTATTAGTGTACACAACAAAACCACCCTTACTTAATAAACAGCCCTCGTATATTTGAAGATGTAAAATAATTCTTCGATCAATTACTTAACTTGCCTAAAGTTTGCCCCTAGGTTTTCAGCCAAGGGAATTCTTCTATTATTTTAAGAAAATTTTAAGTCTTGCTCCCCTGTAGCATTGCTTTTTTCCCACCATTATGTTGGATTAATTTAACAGCTGATGCTCTTATCATAGCTTTGAAGTTTTAAACCGAGGCGTGTAACAGGCCTGTACCGATTTATTATACAGGACAACGTATTTTCAAAAAAGAACACAAATTATAATGTATAATATTCGGGTGATTCTAATAGAACTTTCTTAAGCTTAAATCTGCTTATAGAGCTTAGTAACAAGCCTTATATTAAAAAATGTCACTCTAGGGATATGCAAAAATATAACATATCAATAGTGTGAGCTCTTGGCATTTTTTGAATCAGATGATTGACTTAGCAGCCAGTATCGTAAATGTGAGTTCCCTTTATTTTGCTCTTGTTAAGTGCCTTATAAAGAGTAAGTACGAATTTTTTAAAGCACCCTTTTGGTTTAAAGAAATTGTGAAACGAAATTGTCAAGTTTTTGGAGAATCACACAGAAATCACACGGCAGAAAAGAATATCCTCTTAAATTAAACTTAAAATCCATTCGAGACACTCTAATTAATTTGAATATAGGTCAAAATTAACTATTACAAGCCACCATGGTGCGACTAAATATGAAAAAAGGACAATTAAAAATTTATTTGTTAATCATCATTTTTTTCGTTAAAAATGAGGTCAACGTGCATATGATAGCAAATATATGAGAGCAAATATCATCGATATCTGATGTCGATATTCGTTTGTCATTTAGTTGATTCATTGAGTACTTCAAATTCATGCCAAAGATTTTTTTTTTACCGTCATTGAACAGCCGACCCAATTTTGGGTTTACGACTACTAATGTTCAACCTCGTAGCCTTGTAAGTTTGAACCAATCCAGAAGACAAGGAAACTCCTGGATCAGTACCCCTAGAGGTATGATAAATCATGCCAAAGATTAGAATGACTTGTTTACTTCTAAGCACACTGATGGATATAAAATCCCAACAATAAGAAAAAATTATTCTAGAGTAATAAAATTCCAGCAATGTTTTTGTTTGACATATTTAATTGATTAAAGTTCCAAGATCACAGGTTAAAGCATTTAAGAAAAAAACCATTCCAACTTTGAAATACTAGTACATTAATAACCGATATAACCACCAGAATTTTGAATGCAAGCACGCATTGTGTCAAACAGATGCAGTAAGTCATTTTGTGGGATGGAGTTCCATGTCTGTTGCACTTGGTCAGTCGATACGGGGATAGTTAATGCTGGTTGTGGATGACGCTGAAGTTTTCATCCAATGATGTCCCATACGTGCTTGATTGGAGAAAGATCTGGCGATTTAGCAGGCCAAGGAAGCATGTCGACATTCTGCAGAGCATTATTCTGGGTTACAACGGCAGTATGAGGGCGAGCGTTATCCTGTTGAAAAATGCCCCCTTGAATGCTGCTCATGAATGGCAAGAAAACAGGTTGATTCACTAGGTTGACGTACAAATTTGCAGTCAAGCTGCACTACGAGAGTGCTCCTGCTCTCATAGGAAATTGTTCCCCAGGTGTTGGTCCAGTGTCTCTAGGCCAATCGATCTCCACTCTGTCCTCCAGTGAGTTCTAACTCGACCCCCCACTCACGTCGTTAGGGAGAGTGGTTTGGAGTGAGTGGGACGCAAGCTACAGTGCGTCTCGCTGCAGCTCGAATTTCTGATGCAGACTCAGTACACGACGGTCTGGGAAGTGCCGCGTGGTCTTCTTGAAGCAGTACCTGCCCTTGACCACTCCTGTCAACAATCATGCACCGTGGACACAATTCTTCCCAGTCTTTCTGCAATATCGCGGAAAGAAAATTCACCATTCTCGTAGCCCTATGCATATTACACGACCCTATTTAAAGTCAGTGAGCTGTTGATAATGTCTTCTTCGTCTTCTTAAAAGCATTATTGACTAACAACAACTCACTATGTCAAAATTTCACGAAAAATAACGCTTACAAACTGTAGAACATGTATTTAAAGCAACCCTGATTTGCATGTTCACAGTGGCGCTGCTAGCTCCAAACTTATGCGTCAGGTGCGAAATTTGAATAGACATCATATTTTAGTTGTACAAACAAGCTCACCAAATTTAATTTATCTAGCACAATTCCTTCTAGTGTTGGAATTTTTTTTTCCGTCAGTGTAATTAAGCCTTATTTATTTATTTAATAATTTAATTTTTTGTGCAATACATGGTAAAAAAGCAAGTTAAATTCCAAAAGAGGTATATAATATATCCGGCATTGCATGCTTTTTCCAGTTTCACAAGAGTATTGACGCAACAGTAACTGACTAAAACATATGTATATCCAAGCGCATTAAACGTTTGTAAATACCAAAAGTGTTTTTCTATGTTTAAATCAGGTAATTTTGACATTTCCGACTCGTATCAATCAGGAAAACCAAAACCATGGAAAAAATTATTGAATTGAGGTTGCCTTACTCACCCAATATTACGCTATTGGATTTTCATTTATTCCGATCATGGTTATATTTTTTAATTGGCCAAAAATTTAGAAATTTGGATATCGCCCAAAATGCCCTCTCCAGATATCTTTCCTGTCCTCCGAATACCATAGTAATTTTAAAGTAAACATTTCATATTTCATTAAAATACACGTAGTTAAATTTTTAAACTATAATTTCTTCACACGCTCTACAAGCTATCAATCAATGTTTGCATTTGGGGAGTCAATTAGTTTCGCATAGTATTAAGTACCGAGTGTCACAAAAAATGACCGAGCAATTGAAAAAATAAAGGAAGGAAAAAAAAAATAAATGAAATTTATAAAAAATGGTTTTCTGCGTTCTTTTTTGGAAACGAGAATTTACTCTCAGTAATTTTCAAAATCTTGCAAATTTTATTGCTGACAGCCAAAACTATAAAACAAGATTTTCTGTTGCATGGCGGATCATTCCGATTATTAAGTATTAACGTTTACGATAAAGTGCTGCAATCAGTGATTCTGCAGATTATTTAGAAAATGTGCAGATTTTCTAGGCTCATTCGTTAAAGTGGCAAAAAATAGTCTTGTTTCTCAAACAACCTAGGTAACCTGAAAACTATTTAGATAATCCATTACCTATTCCTTCCTCTTCTTCTTTTTGGCACTGCAGCTCAGATCAGGCCAACAAGTTGCCAACGGAGTCTGTCAGATGTTTGTTTTGTTTTCAAATTAGTTACTTTGTAGTCAAATTAGTAAATGTTTTCAGATCTTTTTGAATGCCATCAAGCCCAGCTGTAATGGCTTAGGAGGTATAGCGCTCACCTCCTATTGAGGTGAACCGTGTTCGAATCCCGGCAATGGCTGGTTGATTCGAACTCCACACCCGGTTCGCACTGACCACAGTCCTGACGTAAAATATCTTCAGTGGTAGACGGTTAGAGTCCCCTTGCCGCCAGGCCTACCATGGGAGTTTTTCGTACTTTTCCTCCCCATGTAACGCAAATGCGGGTTAGTTCCATCAAAAAGTCCTCTACGAGTTTAATTTCACCCAATACTTTATCCAGGAGTTTCCTTGTCTTCTGGATTGGGTTCGAAATTACAAGGATGCAAAGTTGAACATTAGTCGTAAAGTGAAAATTCAATCAACTGCTCAACGACGGTTATACAATAAAAGAAAAGGTCAGCAAGCCATCTGAGAGGTGGTTTTCTCCGTTTTTCAGAGCCACCTGTCTAGTTGTTTAGGATATGTTTTCTCAATGTCCAGCTTTAGCCTCCGTAGAGGACTACAGGTCGCATTAGTGATATACACATCTTAATACTCGTTAAAATGAAAATAAGATCTTTTCTGTAACAGTTGAATCATTTCTGTACGCTCAAATTTATACAGTGAAACCTCCAGGAAAGACCACCTCTATTTACGACCACTTTTGGGATTGACGGAATTTTTTCCATAGACTTTGTATTGAAAAAAGCCTTTAGGACAGACCATTAAAACCTCTCCCAGCGACATACAACCTCATGTGGCTGTTAGAGCGCGCTAAAACGATGCTATCGATGCCTTACTTTTAGAGTTAAAAGTTAAATTAGAATATAGAAAGTTGTTAAATTTAGAATGTAGAAAGATATTGGGTAAGCATAAATATCTGGTTTCCTAAGAAGCACGCAGCAAATCTTATATTTCCATTCTTTTCTGTTTTTCTTTCATTGATTTGTTTCTTCTTTCAAATCGATAATCATTATTTGATACACGGTAGAATCATTATACTCTGCTGATTCTATTTTTTTTTTGTACATCTTGTAGCATTCTAAGACAGTGGGTCCCCATTTGGACCCTCCCATTTGGGTTGAAAATGAGGTCGATAACGGGACCCTGCTTATCTTCAACGTGACATCTAAAAATCATAGTGGAAGCTACACATGCGACGCCAAAAACTCACACGGACTGAGAAGCAAAGTATTTGAGATCAACATCATTGGAGGAGGTAAATTTAAAAAAATAATAATATATATCCTGTAAACAATGATGTTCGCTATCAATCCTCAAATTCATTGTACAGATTAGAAGAAAAAGCTCAGCTTATGTGTATGGTGGATAATCAGCAATTCGACTAAAAGTCCATCAACGTACACTCTAAATCTGTCTTCAAAACCTGTCAAAAAGTCCTCTAAATACTGTGGAAGTTGTGACTGTTGGTAGGAACCACCGTCGTTGAGCAGCCGACCCAATTTTCGGGGTTTACGCCCACTAATGTTCAACTCGGTAGCCTTGAAATTATGAACCCAATCAAGAAGACAAGGGAACTCCTGGATCAAGTGTTGGAAAAAAATTTGCCTTCGTGGTGGACTTTTTGATGGAACTAACCCGCATTTGCGTTGAGGTGAGGTGAGGAAAATTTTGAAAACCTCCCAGGGTTAGTTTGACGGCATGGGAACTCTAACCCTTAATCCGTCTACTATTGCGAATATTTTACATCAGCACATTCGAATCGACCAGCTATCGATGGGATTCGACTCCATTTCGCCTCGTTGGAATTCCAACGCTTTATAACCCTCAACCACCAAGGCTCAAAGTCTTTTATTTGTAGTTAAGAAAATAACATAATTTTTTCAACATTTAAAAAATGATTTTAAAAAAATTTGGTGGATGTGACACCAGCTCGCTCCGCTGAAAAATTCTAGTAGGTGACATACATATTTGTTTTTTTTTTCCTTTAGAAGCAGATATTTTATTTAAAAAATTGTTTTATAAAATAAGCAATTTTTATGTAAGAACATATTGTTAATATGCTTACCGTAACGAAATAAACGCTGAAAAATAATCAATAGTATTTGTATATATATATATATATA